CCAAATAAGCCAAGAAAGCAAAATTTGCCTAAATTTTGCATATGAAATTCAGGTACGTCAATCATTTGACCCATAATTAAAAATTTTACACACATGATCTGCGTGACAAATCGTGTGACTGATAACGATGTACGTACGCACGTACGCAACAGAAATTAATTAACAGTTAACTGTTATTATACAAGTATAAGTTATACAATATTAACTTTTTGTGTCTTAAATAAAAATGTTTCCTAATATATATATAAATAATGTTAAATTGGGTTATATAGTGTTAATTAAATTATAACAATTATTACTAAATATAGGGAATGTCTAAAGCCATGTGCACTTAATAATTAATTGATACGTAATACTACGTATAAATATTAACCATCTCGAGAGAGGTGGTACGTACTTGTACAGTACACAAAATGGTTAAAAATAATCAGAAAAAAATATTTGATCATTCATTCAATCAATTCTTAAAACAGAATAAAAACTAACGGTAATAGATAATGTAAAACTGGGTCAGTTCATTTTCTAAAATGCTATCTTATTACTGTATTAAAAGTTCAATAATTTCTTTACTATTTTAAAATCAAATAAAGGTTTAAATTGTAAAATTACAATATTAGATAACGATAATCACTAAAGCGAGATGCATTTAAAATCATCTTTTTAATAATACGTATATAACATTCAAGTATAAAATGGCATCAAAAATTAATTTTTTATAATAAAAACTAAACTTATAGATAAGCTGGCCAAATTAGTTTAAGCATTACTGTATTAAGCTATCTTTGTTTATTTTTTTTCTTTTAAAAAAAAAAGAAAACTTTGTTTGGTTTCTATTAACTTACCCCCAATTTATCTCACTTTATTGAACATTTCGGACGTAAACTTTTTCCATCCATGTAGCTCAGAACGTTATTGAATCTTAAGAAAGCTAGGTAGTACGTTCAAACGGTATACGGTCAACCTCCATATGTACATATTGTCGAGGAAAAAAGTGCACTTGTAAAATGTTACATGAATTGTAGCAGTAGATGATCAAAGAGTTAGTACATATAAAGGGAAAATGTAAAGTTTTACAGCCAAGCAATACATTTAAATAGTGTAATGACCTCTGATGTTGCATTGTTTTCAATTATATCATTAATTTTAATTAATATATACAACCTATTTTAGTACCCTGGTGATCAAAATAGATACAACGTATTTTCTTGTAAAATAATTTTCGTTGGCTGGTTCAATGCATGTGTATGTTGCTAGTGCATGCTATTGCATACTGGTGCATAATTTCTTGTCTAATGTTTATCGTTATACGTTAAACTTTTAAATTGCTTCCTATAATTAAATCGAACACATAGCCAAATATTTGGGTTTAATCATATTTTGAATATCCTATTTAAATGACTCGGCCTCCTTCTTTCACAAACTCGACCGATTTTGGTTTTTCTCAAAAATTTTACGATCAATTTTGGTTCTTTTTCTCAAAAATTTTAATTAATCAATCTCAATTATGAAATTCTTTCCAATAAGTTCCCTTTTCATTTTCGTGCTTGTAACATTCAATTTTGTTTCAGCACAACAACCGGCAGTACCACAAAATGTCTCCTCTGCGTGTCAACAAGAAATTATTAAACTTTCTTCAAGCTCGGACCTCGCCAATTGCGCTTCATTTGTCAAGTTATATCCATTGCAAAATGCAACAATACAAAATGCAACATCAATCTATGATAGTTATTGTGCTGCACCGAAATGCAGTGATAGCATCACTTCTGCTGATGCTGCTGAACTTAAAAATCAATGTCAATCAGAACTTGCTATGAAAGATCCTACCACTTCTTACTTAAAAACAATTCTTGTTTTCAATTCCCCGGTAAGGGATTCATTATGTTTCAAGAATTCCTCCGGAGGATATTGTGATTTGGATGACAATTCTGCTGCAGTATTCAATTACCTTCTTGGATTGAGTTATACTCAACCTACTAATCTTAGTTGTTCCGATTGTAATAAAGCTATTTTAAATACTTTTGCGAATTTCTTTAAATCTAATCCTCAATCCGTGGCTGACTTATCGATTGACCCAACGTCTTTTGAAAGTTTTGTTACATCAAAGTGTGGTTCTTCTTTCTTAGGTAAGTTATATATATATATATATACGATATATTATTTAAATTTATATAAGATTTTTAATTTTTCCTTCTTTTCATTATAGATGGAACTGTTCCAAATACCTCTAGTCCTCCAAAGAAGAGCAGTGGCATCTCTATACACTCTCTATCTTTTATTGGCTTTACAATGTTCGCAGCTTCATTTATTAGTTTAATTGTTTATGTCATTTAGTTAAAGTATTGTTCGATTTACGAATATCCTAAAGTTTAAGATTTACAGTACCTTATATAATCATTATAATGATAATGTTTTTACTTTTTCATTTGTCGACAAATATTTTGCTTATGATTTTATTACAATAAAATAATTTAATATAGCATGTATTTAGTCGCATATCGATATATAAAATAAACTTATTCACTATATATGTCGTGTTTAGTTGTTGTTTTCATGTTGACCGATGAACTTAACTTTCATAGTCATATCGAAAGCTTAATACTGTAAGAATCCAGTAAAAAAAAATTGGTGAGATGAAAATAGACCCTGGTTAGTGCTCGGCAAAATCAACCAAAAAACTTGAAAATCAAGTTTTTGAATCTATCGATTTACAGTATTGTGCTTTAATTACAAAATCTATTTTTACTCTAATCTGACTTTAAACTTTATGATAAGTTACCACGAAGTCTAAAGTAAGATCGGATGCCTGTTAGATTTATATATTTACTAAAAATAAAATTTATATTTAATGCTCAATACTATAAACTGATAGATTCAAAAACTTGATTTTCAAGTTTTTGTTTGAACTACCCCTGGTCTTGTATACACACATTTACAGTAATATAAAATTTTGTGTTCGTTATATCCAGAGTTCATTATACCCAGAGTCGGCTGTATATGAGTGGTGTCAAGGAAAAATGGGACATTGGTTTATCATTGATTATTTAATGTATACATGGGTGCCTAAATTATTTTTGAAAAATTGTATTTTCGGCAAACATTTCGGCATTGCTAAATTTTTTATATGAAACCCTTCGAAATAACTATATTATATGATGTATTTTGATGAAAGGTGTTCAAAAAATTTCGGCAATAATTTCGGCAGATATGAAAATTAATTTCGGCACTATATAAGAATAATTTCGGCTGCCTAAATGCCGTAATTACTTTTTTATTAAGATGAGCAATTTAGGCACCCATGTATAATTTAATGAATGATAAACCAAATGTCTCATTTTATGCGACTTAGTCAGGCCGAAAAAAAAGTGTCGATTCCGTGATTGTCATAATCGGAACTTGAATCTATAAACATCAAAAATTAGCGTTAATTGATATTGATACTATTTATCAAAATATTTTCGATGTTCAAGTTCCGCTCATGACAATCACGGGACCGACACTTTTTTTTCAGCCCGACTAAGTTGCATGAAATTTTACAGACAGATTATGCAATTATACGATAATGTAATGATAATAATAAAATTTAAGTTACATAAATTATATAGAATACGTAATCAAAATGACTTGACTTAGAGGGAAAATTCAATGTGAAGTTATGTTGTATTGCCAGCTACGTATGTACGTACGTACTTAGGTAATACATTTAATAGTGTAATAACCTTTGATGCGGTGTATCTGTATGCAACTAATGCACAATTCTAATTTTAAATTTTTTAATTTTTAAGTTGCTTCCTATAATTGCAATTCTAATTTTAAATTTTTTACCTTTAAATTGCTTCCTATAGTTAAAGTTCGAACACAACCAAATATTTGGGGTTTTAGTCTTTGTATTTTGATTATCATATTTAAATGAACCCGGTTTCCTCCTTCACAAACTCGACCAATTTTGGTTCCCTTTCTCGAAAATTTTAATTAAATTTCAATCATGAAATTCCTACAAATAAGTTCACTTTTCATTTTCATGTTTATAACATTCAATTTTGTTTCTGCACAACAAATACAAATACCATCAAATATCTCCGCTTCATGTCGAGCTGAAATTCAAAAACTTGCTTCAAGCTCGGACCTCAGTAGTTGTGCTTCATTTATTAAATTATATGCATTGCAAAATGAAACAATGCAATTTGCTACTTCTCTAGCACCAATCTATGATAGTTATTGTGCTGCGCCGAAATGCAATGATAATACCACTTCTGCTGATGCGACTGAACTTAAAAGTCAATGTCAATCAGATCTTACTGTGAAAGATCCTACCGTTACTTACTTAAAAAATGTTCTTGTTTTCAATTCTCCGCTAAAGGATTCTTTGTGTTTCAAGAACTCTTCCGGGGGATATTGTGTCTTGGATCCAAATAGTGATTTGATATTAAATTACGTTCTTGGATTGAATGCTACTCCTCCTGCTGATGTCAGTTGTACCGATTGTAATAAAGCCATTTTAAATACTTTTGCGAATTACTTTAAATCTAATTCTCAATCCGTGTCTGAATTGCCGTCTGATCCAACGTCTTTTGAAAATACGGTTACAACACAGTGTGGCTCTACTTTCTTAAGTAAGTTTTAGATATATATATACCGTATATATATATATATATATATATAATTAATTTTAATTTTTCTTCCTTTTCATTATATAGATGGAACTATTCCAAATACAACTGGATCTAATTCTGGTTCTGGTTCTGGCACTGGCACTGGTTCTGGTTCTGGTTCTGGCTCTAATCCTCAAAAGGGTAGTGGTGTCTCCATGCACTCTCCATCTTTTACTGGCTTTACAATGTTTACGAACACTATCATCGTAGCTTCGTTTATCATTTTAATTGATTATGTTATTTAATTAAAGTATTGTTTGATCTATGAATGAAGTTATAGGATATCCTAAAGTTTAAGATTTAGCTTACAGTACGTTATATAACGATAATCATTGTAACGATAATGATTAAATTTTTTTACTTTTTTCATTTATCGACAATATTTTGCTTATTATTTTATTACAATAAAAATAAAATATTATAATATAGCATATATTTAGTCATATATAACAAACTTTATTCGCGTATATATGTCGTGTTGTGTTGTTTTCATGTTGGCCGATGAACTTAAATGACCTACGTGATCTTTATGACTTTTCGTAGGTCATTTAGTCATAACGAAAACGGTTATGACTTTATACCCCTTTAATACAGTAAGAATCAAAGTAAAAAAAAAATTATTAGCATTTAATACTGTAGGTAGGGTTGTTAATGGAGTACTCCAGTTTATAATAAAACATATAACCTACTCCGGAGCACTCCAGAAATGGGTTATATGTTTTATTATAGTCTGGGGCTCTCCATTAACAACCCTAACTGTAGGATAGTGCACGGCAAAATCAAACAAAAACTTGAAAATCAAGTTTTTGAATCTATCAATTTACAGTATTGAGCATTAAATACAAATTTTATTTTTAGTAAATATATAAATTTAACAGGCATTCGATCTTACTTTAGACTTCGTGGTAACTTATCATAAAGTTTAAAGCCAGATTAGAATAAAAATAGATTTTGTAAAGCACAATACCGATACTGTAAATCGATAGATTCAAAAACTTAATTTTCAAGTTTTTGTTTGATTTTGCCGTGCACTATTGTAGGATCATTTGTATTTACTAATGCTGTAATGGTAATATTGTACTAGAGATGGTAAAAAACGGGTTAAACAGTTTTTTAAACGTTTTTATTGTTTTAAAATATCGAAGTCTGAGATAAAATTTTGCTGAAACTGAAAATATTGTTTCTGATTAATTTTAATTTTCGGTTGAGAATTTTTTTTTAAAAAAGACGTTGCTATATAATTTTGAGTTTATCAGACATCACATGAAATAATAAAAAAAATTAATACATTTTTTCGGTTTAATTTTTATCAAAGCTATTATTTTTAAATGCGAAATTTGCTTGTCGGCCAATACAACCCTTCATTCTATATAGTTTTACATTTTATTGGTATTGAAAGTCCAAGGCTTACAATATTGCTATTATGTAAACCCATTGAATAAGTTTTTGCGAATGAATTATTTGAAGAACCAGAATCCTGTTTTTTGAGTTTTTAACAAATAATTAAGTTACATAAATTACATAGATCAAATTATAAAGATTGTAAGCAGAAGTCTTTTTCGATTTTTAACAGCTGCCCTATCTTGTTTGGTGTGTCGAAAGTGCGTCGGTGGTAGTCCCTGCGTATCGAATACAAAGTAAATTTCCAATTATGTTATATAATTGGAAACTTTACATTGTATTTTGATCCTTATGCAAACTCGGGTTACTCCTGACGCACTTTCGACGCACCAAACAATGTAGGGCAGCCGTTAAAATCGAAGACCTCTGCTGAGATTGTACACATTAAGAAAATTTCTATCCGGTTAACGGGTAATTTATTATAGCCATTTTTTTATCGAGGTACATACGATCATCATTATAATATTATATTACAGGAAAGGTAATACATTTGAATACGTACGTACCTTTAATGTTGCATTGCTTTACATTGAATACAACCTGTGATCATCGTAACATTTTTGCATTTTCTTGGTTGGTTCGGTGCATGTGTATGTAACTAGTGCACAAACTAATCTAAATTGCTTCCCATAGTTAAGTCGAACACATAACCAAATTATTGGGTTTAGTATTCGCATTTTGAATATCCTATTTAAATGAACTCGGCTTCCTCCTTTCACAAACTCGACCGATTTTGGTTCCCTTCGAAAATTTCAATTAAAATTTGTTCATGAAATTTTTGCTAATAAGTTCACTTTTCAGTTTCGTGTTTGTAGTATTCAATTTTTTTTTTGCATTGTGACGAATCATGATATATCATGACCCATAACCGATTTTTATACTATTCGATTCCATTCATCGAGAGGAATCGAATGGTATAAATTTCATTCGATTCTGATCATGGAATTATACAATTCGTCAGAATACCTAACTTGCCATATCTTTTATATGGGATGAATCAATAGAAATTAAACAAATTTTTTATAATAAAAATATAGGTATTTGTGAAGCATCATTAGTAGTCCGATTTTGTTTTATGATTTGTTTTAGTCTTGTATTTTCGATCCTAAGATCAACAATTTCTTCGATGATCTGTTTTAGTTTGGTATTTTCAGTTTCAAGTTTGGTAACTCGCTGTCTCAATAATTCAAGCTCTGATGACATGATTGAAGAAAATTTTTATATAAGGATAGATTTATTCAAAATAAAAAAATCACGTGCGCGTTCTATTTCGGAACGCGGGTCACTTTGCCAAGAAAAATTCTCAATCATATACGAATACAATAAAATAAATTTACGAAATACACATGCAAAAGTAAACACGATTATGTGTGCGAAATCAGCCATCAGGGCTAACTTTATTGATATGGTAAAAAATTACAAAAATAAAAAATGCATAATAAAAAAGCCAATCATCTCGTGGGTTATTCAAATTTGTTGATCATATTTGCTAAGGAATTTCGAAAACTTCAGATCGTCCAAATTCTCCAAAGCTAAAAATTGACTAATTCGTTATTTCTTAATCAATCAGAAAGAATCAAATCTAAGACAAAAATGGTCATCAGTTATATATCTATGCAGTATCAGAAAAATTAATACCCACATTATTGGCCATCCAAATAATATTACAAAAATCGAAGTTAGTAATGTAAACAGACCTCCAACAAAACCAAAGACGCATCCATCTTTTTTCAGACTGAGACAAAACCCGCTGATAATTTATGTTCCCACAATTAAATTTCTCGGAAATTTGTATAAAAGAAAATAGTTATTAGTTTGCAAGTTCAGAAGTTGCTTTATTTGCAAACCGCAACCACCACAACCAAAAATCATACTTATTAGTATAATCGTTTTATCTGGAACTTTTCTTTAGCAACTTCTTCAAGGCATAATATGCCAGCTTCTTTTAAGTGAGTGTGTTTTCTTCTGCCATAGTATTTATGTTAGTCCGGAAATATTAGTAATTACGGCTCTTTAAAAAAGAGAAAACAAAGTTCCATGACAACACCTCCCTCATTAGTAACCGATCAATGAAAATTGCTTTTATTTGCATACACAGTATGGCTAGTCAAACGTGTTGTTTTTCTGAAAAAAGTAAGTATATATTTAGCATTAAAAGATCACGATTCAACACTGCGCGATGATACACTTCCCGAGAGTGGAAACACGAATCATAAACTTTGGAAAGGTTTCCCGAGTCCAAAGCGTAGGGATGTGTAAAAGGTGAGCATTTCTGCGAGACCCTCATCTCTTTCTACGATACACCTCCCGAGAGTGAAAACACGAATCATAAACTTCGGAGAGGTTTCCCGAGTCCAAAGCGTAGGGATGGTGTGAAGGCGAGCATTTCTGCGAGGCCCTCATAGAAAGGCTGTAAAAGAATTTTTATAATACTTATCTTAATGTAGCCGAAGGCCTTATATAAAAAACATAACTTTGATTTTCTGAATAAGTTAATTGTAAGACAATTCAGCAATTCTGCGATTTGTTGTTTTTAAGAGAAATTCTGCGGTTTTCTGTGAAACACGGCAGATCAGCATGGCGGACATTCGATTTGATTGGCTTGAAGATCCCTGAGTTACACAACATAAATAAAAATTTTTAAAGTAACCCTTACTATGTAAAACCATATCGTCAATTGGCAACTCGTGATTTTATATAATAAATTTTTTTTAAAGCTATCTTAAAGTATTTTTTACCTCTTCGTACGTCTATAGCGAAGAAAGATCAGTATAGATCATTATCATTAAAGACTTTACTTAAAGAGCAAAATTTAGATGAATTTCAGTAACAAACGAGATAATAAGCTTTCAAATTTGAAAAAAATTTATGAACTAACAGATTTTTTTTTGACAAGAGAAAACTTTGGTCGCTTTGAGAAGAAGAACTAATAAGACGCAGTAAAATAGCCATTATGGAGTATGGCAATAGTGGCAAACTAACTTAACCTTAATTATACACATTTGTAATCTGTGACAGGTTAAGTCACTGATTTCAATCACCGTCCTACTATACCTAAAGTAATTATAATATACTAGAGGAATATTTATATGGTATTCATTATTTTATTTTAACAGAGTTGTAAAATTACTATAATTTACAATTGGTAAAGTTACTACTAACAACCCTGATATTGGTTTAGTTAATATCAAAATGCAACTTTTAACTTCAAATATTTTTTGTTAATATATAGTTTATAATAGTTAAGCCTTGTACTGGGAATATAATTGGATATGATTGAAACTAGTGGTTTAACCTGTCACAGATTACAGACATGTCTTAATTACATATTATGAGGGATGTTAACAAACTGTCTGGTTTAGTCTGGACAATTTGGTTCAAGTCTAGTCTAGTTTATTATGGTTTTCAGTCTAAAGTCTTTGCTAGTCTAGCTCAGACTAGGAAATAGATTCATTCTAGTACTTTTTTTATCAACCAGACAAAAAGATTTTTACTGGTCTAGAAGAATTGGAATTGGTGTTAAATGAGTACTATTTATTCTAGACATTTTTTTGAATTGATTGAAATAAATTCAGAAATATCTAAAAAATGGATTCTTCTAGCACTTCTTTTATCAACTGGCCCAGAAAAATTAAAATTGGAGTTGAATAGACACCATTTACTCCAGACATTTTCTTGGATTGATTATAATAAATTCAGAAATATCCAAAAAATAGAAAAGCAAAGGTTAGTATTTTATGTTTATTAATTGCCTATGTCTTAAAAGGATTTATTTTAATACTTCTTTTATCAACCAGACAAAAAAATTT